CACGCACCTCTGCATCAATCCAGCATAAAACGCAGAAACTACTCTTATTCACGGTTCTCTTATTACCCGCCCTCTGTTGTTGTTAGCGATGTCCAGCTTGGTTGATATGTGCGCTGCCGAGTTTGCGAAGCTGCGAGAAAAAGGTCAGGCCATCTTCTCGTCGACGTCGACCAAATCAAGGCCAACGAATAGTAGCCTACTTGAGGAGCATTCTGCTGGCAGTGGTATCGGGCACCCCGTTCACCTGAGTCAGGCCTTGATGCTCAAGCACCGGCCACCGCCAAGGCTCTGCTCTGAGGCTGCCTTATCCATGATGGTTGACTGTTTCAGTCCATAGGTCAATTATCAAGGTTCAGTTTGGCATATAGTTGTCACAATTGAAACTTGTTGGGGTTTTCGTTCGTACACGTGTAATAATAAGCTTGTGCCTACGTTCCAGACTACGTTATGATGTAATTAATGCCCACGGCATTCTGGATAGGAATAGGGGGGCGAAAAGGCAAAAAAAAATTATTGTCCAACTTACTAATGAATTATGGAGCCTGAAAGTCTCATTTAGCGTTCAAACAGAGTGATACACGTGTGCTTTCATACTTGGTAGTGTCATGTGCCCTTATCAACGAAGAGGAAAGGGTGCTCCGGGGATGTGAGAATCAAGCGGAGATACCTAATGAAATACAACAATAGCCCAGCGTTCACTGCTTCCCGATTCAATCTCTCACTCAACATGTAACCATTAAATTCCTTCAAACAAAAAAAAAAAAAAAAAACTATTAATCATTAAATTTAAAAAAAAAAAAAAAAAAAAAAACTATTAATCATTAAATGCCTTGCACAACTAAAGGCTCAACATTCGAACCTAGCACCAGCAATCGCTACACTTGCAGCCACAATTGTTCATAATGCTGAGCTAGGTCGATATCTGAACTGAAAAATCGCAAAGCTGCTAGAAGAAAGGCAGGCCATCTTCTCCAAGGTCGATAAGCCTCCATGGTCGCCTTGCAGCTGAAGTGCAGATAAATGGCAGCGCTTAGCTAAGCTCGGATGTTGTGACCATGTTGGTTGAGTGATTTAGCCCATGCGTATGACCGCATGAGCCGTGATCTTGATGTGTTTATATGCACAACGCATCGCCCAGTCTTTATATGCACAATGCGTCGCCCAGCTATCTTACGGCTATCTTATTTTGCATATGTTTCTGCGTATGACTGTATGAGTCTTGATCTTGATGTGTTTATATGCACAATGGATATGTTTCCACTCTAATACGACCATGGCATATAGTAATTTGAACCTCAAAATCTGAGATAATCTCTACAATTTGAAAGGTTGCTTTTGTTAACATTCAGCTGGAAGATGGCCAGGCATTATGGAAAGCAATATGGTTTCATTCATTGTTGTTGCACATAAATCAAATGCAAGTTTACGGTGTCTTGAACAAAGATGCACTGATGGAAAATCAAATGATCTGAGCAAGTACTGATTTATTCATAACACCAACTTTCGTCTGAAACTACAACAAACAGGATAACCTAAGAATCACAGACTTGTTGCAATTTTATTCGTAAAGAACACCTCTAGGCTTCAGCTTCTTCTTTGCCGTAATCATAAACGATCTCAATCTGCACCAAAATTTTACCTCATAATGTAAGGTGATATTATTAAAACTTTATATGAATGATACGAAGCAGTAACAACAATCTGGCAATGAATAAGATTTGTTTCTTGTAATTGTTTGCTCTAACAAAAACTTTCTTATGAGTGATGTGTGTGTGTGTGTACAGACACACGCTCACTTATACAGAACCACAGATTCAAGTTCAAATTTTAAGTCCTCTTCCCAGTAGTAATTAATTGTGTGTACTTCAAATTCGCGATTTTCATGGGGTAATTCACGATTTTTAACCCTTTTCATTCGTTTCAACCCAGTGACAATTAAACTTCATAATTACCAATTTTCACGGGCTTTTCCATAACCACAAATTTTGTCCATTAAAGTTCATCTCTACCTAATGACAGTAACTGTGCATATACATAAAAAATTGTGATTTTCATGAGGTTATAAACTTATAATCCATATTTTTTGTCCTTTTTTTCTTTCATTTTGACACAGTGGAAGCTATCTCTTATCCTTCAAAATTCAGAATTTTTTTTATAGCCCACTGTTTTTGTCAATTTTCATTTGTTTAAACCTAATAGCAAATAAATGTGTGCTTAAAAATTTATAATTTTCATATACTATAACCCACGATTTCTTTTTCCAAATTTGTTAGTTTTGACTCAATAACAATTAACTTCTCTTTCTTGAAAATTTCGCGAAGATCATGTGTTAGAACCTATGCTTTTACAATATTTTCGTTCATTTCGACCCAATGACAATTAATTATTTTCCTTTGAAAGTCACAATTATCATGGGCTACAACACATGATTGTCGTCAAGTTTCGTTAGTTTCAACCTAATGAGAAATAAGTGAGCATGCATCAAATTTCATGATTTTCATGAGCTATAAACCACGAACTTTGACCATTTGTCTGTTTTGACCCAATGTCAATCAATCACTTACGCATACCTCAAACTTCACAATTTACATGCACTCTAACACGCGTTTTTTGTGCATATCCATTCCATTCAAACTAATGACACTTAATTATGTGTACTTCAAAAAACAAGTTTTTATGGGACATAACTCAAGATTTTTGATAATTTTCATACATTTCGACCAAATGAAAATTAATTATCCGTACTTCAAAACTCGCAATTTTCATGAATTAGAATCTAAGATTTTAGCCATTTCTACCAAATAGCAATTAATTATGCGCACTTCAAATTTTGCGATCATCATCACCTATAACATGATTTTTTGCCATTATCTTCCAGTTTTACCCAATGATAATTAATATTGTATACTTTAAAATTTATAATTTTCATAGGATATAAGCCTATTACCCACTATTTTTATTCATTTCAACCGAATGACAATTAAGTATTTCTACAAAAATCATGATTTTCATAGGCAATATAACCCATTATTTTCATCAATTTTCATTAGTTTCAACCCAATGACAAATCATCATGTGTGCTTCAAAATTCACAATTTTTATAAGCTATAACCAACAATTTTTTACCATGTTCGTCTATTGTGACCCAATGCCTATTACTTAGGTGTCAAGTTTCATGGGTTCTAACTTACGATTTTTGTCAATTTTTAAATATTTCAACCAAACAAAAATTAACAAGTATACTTCAAAATTCATAATTTTTTATGCAACAATCCAAAACTTTTGTTCAATTCGTTCATTTTGACCCAACACAATTATGCATATACCATAAAATTTGTGATTTTCATCGATTATAGTTCCTGGTTTCTATCCATTTTCATTCGTTTCGCCCTAATGGCAATAAACTGTGCATGCTTCGAAATTCTCAATTTTTGTTGGCGACAAATTGCGGTTATGACAATGAAAATCGCAAATTTTCAAGCACATACAGTTAATTGGAATTGGGAAGAAATGAACAATAAAGAATGGAAATCTTGAGAAATAAGCAAAGTTTAGAATTTTGAAGTACACGTGATTAATTGTCACCAGGTCGAAACAAATAAAAATGGACAAAAAACATGAATTATAAACTGTGATAATCATAAATTTTAAAGTTCGCATTATTGATTTCCTTCTGGACAAAAGCAAAAAAAAGGATGATAATTGAGGATTATAGCTTAAGAAAATCGTGGATTTTGAAGTATGTATGATTAGTTTCCATTTGGTTAAAACAAGCAAAAAATTAGCATAAATCATGGGACATAGTTAATAGAAACTCAATGTTAGAAGTATGCATAATTAATTAACATTAGTTTGAAACATAGAAAACAGGAAAAAATTGTGGGTCAGAACCCATAAAAATTGAGAATTTTATAGAATGCATGATTAATTACCATACGGCCAGAGCAGACGATAACAGACAATTTTTAGGCCATAATGTATTAAAATTATGAAGTTTAACATGCATACTTATTTATCATTAGGTCGAAACTATTGAAAATTGTTTAAACTCATAGGTTGTGTAGCCCATGAAAATCGCGAATTTTTAAGAAAAAAATTTAATTGTCCTTTGGTTCAAAAATGAAAAAAAAAAATACTACAAAAATTGTGGGTTATAACCCATGAATAACCCATGAAAATCATGAACTTTGACGAAAAAACTTAACTACCATTCGGCCACAACAAACAAAAATAAATAAAATCTTGTTCGTTTCAAACTAATGGCAATTAATTCTGAGTACTTAAGTCGTATTTTTAGAGGATATAACCCACAATTTTTTGTCAATATTTGTCCACTTCTTAACCCCATGGCAAATAACATTTTTCATGCAAAATTCACAATTTTCATTGGTTATAACATGCTAGTTGTCAAGTTTTCACTCATTTCGCTCTAATGAAAAATAAATATGCATGTTTAACAATTCAGGATTTTCATTCGCTATAACCTATAGTTTTCTGCATTTCTATTTGTTGTGACCGAAAGACAATTAAGTTTTGCCGTCAAAGTTGGTGATTTTCAATAGTTATAACCCACGATTTTGCACTACCTTTATTCGTTTCGATCCAAGTGGTAATTAACTTTTTCTTTCAAAATTCGCAATTTTCATTAGCGATATAACCTATAATTTTTGTCTATTTTTTGTGAGTTTCGACCCACTAACAAATAAGTATGCATGCTAAAATCCATAATTTTAATAGATTATAACCTGAAAAAATTTGTTCATTTTTGTTTGCTTCAACTCTATCGCAATTACTTAGACATACTTTAAATTCCCAATATTCATGGGTTTTAACCCATGATTTTCCATTTCCTTTGTTTCAAACTAATGGCAATTAAGAATGAGTAATTCAAAATTCGAATTTCTGTAGGCTATATCCTACAATTTATTTTAATTTTCATTTGTTTCAACCAAATTGAGATTCATTATACATACTTTAAAATTATCAATTTTCATGGTCTACAATTCACGATTTTTGTCCAATTTTTTCTTGGTTCGATCTATATGACCATTTTCAATAGTTTAAAATCCTAAATTTTCATGGACTAACGATTTGTCATTTCTTGATCATTTCTTACCAATGGTGTGTTTCAAAATTTGTTATTTTCATGGTTATAACCCACAATATTTTGTTGGTTTCAAACAAACAATAATTAATTATGCATTCTTAGAGGCTATAACTCAACTGCTGTCAATTTTTATTCGTTTCGACCATAAAGCGTAACATTTTTCCTGCTAAGTTTTATCAAATTTTCATTTGTTGCAATCAAATGGAAAATAAATATGCATGTTTAACAATTCAGGATTTTCATTTGCTATAACCCACAACTTTGTCCACTTCCCTCTATTGCAGCCAAAAGACAATTAAATGTCTTAAAAGTTTGTGGTTTTCCCTGTTATAAACCACAATTTTGCACTACTTTTGTTCATTTCAATCCAAATAACAATTAAGTTTTTATCAAAATTCATGATTTCATAGGCTATATAACCCTTAATTTTTGTCAATTTTCATTAGTTTCGACACAATGACAAATAAGTATGCATGCCAAAATTCACAATTTTGATGGATTATAACTACAAAATTTGACAATTTTCGTCTCCTTCGACCCTATCGCAATTACTTATGCTACTTTGAAATTCCCAATTTTCATAGATTCTAATCCACAATTTTGTCTATTTCCTTCATTTCAATCTAATGGTAATTAAATGTGTACTTTAAAAATCGAGATTTGTAGACTATATCCCACAATTTATTTTTATTTTTATTTTTTTGACCAAACTAAAATTAATTATACAATACTTCAAATTTTGTGATTTTTATGGTTTATAATTCACAAGTTTTGTCTATTTTTTCCGACCAGAATGACATTTAATCATGCACACTTCAAAATCCAAAATTTTCATGAGCTAAACCATGATTCTGGTCATTTATCATTCATTTCTCACTAATAAAAATTAATTGTGCATCAAAATTTGCGATTTTCATGATTATAACTCACAACTTGTCCATTTTTGTTCATTTCAAACTAGTGAGAAGTAACAATGTGTACTTTAAAAATTGCATTTTTATAGGCTATAGCCCACGACATTTGTCAATTTTTTTCATCTCGACCCTATGGCACGATTATGACGGTAACGATGAAGACGAAGCTTGCTAGAGAAAATTTTGAAGGTGAATCTGGATGCAAATTTGTGTTGGGAGGCCGCAGAGTTGGCCAAAGGTAGTGGACAAGGTGGCTAGAGCAGGAGTTAGGGTTAGGGTTTATTTTCGTCTCGAGTCGCAAAAGCGGAGAGAGAGGAGCGAAAGGTTTTACTTAAGAAAATAAGTCTAATTTCGATTCAAATATAATATAAACTTGAATTTGTTTTTTAAAGTGCTTTTCAGCGCTTTCACAAGCTTTCTAACGCGTTTTCAAACAGAAAGCACCATGTCCACTTTCATTGGCCGCTTTTGACAAAAGCAGAACGGTGAAGCGCCACTTCTGCTTTACAAACCGCTTACACGGCCAAAAGTAGAGCTTTTTTCAACATTGTTTCAAATTAGTGACAATTAAGTATGAATACTTAAAAATCACATTTCTATATGCTATATAACCTGCGTTTTTTCAATTATTTCTATACTTTTTTCCTGTAAAATTTCAAATTTTCATTGGATAAACCACGTGAGTTTTGTCAAAATTTCACTCGTTTTAACCGAACGACAATCAAGTCTTGTACTTCAAAATTTGCAAAATCTGCATTAACCCACGGTTTTTGTCAAATTTTGTTAGTTTCGACCTAATGGCAAATATATGTGCATGAAAATTCACCCTTTTCATGGGCTATATCAAAGGTTTTAAATATCGGTTATCCGAAATATATCATATGTCCGAAATTCATATCGGATCCCGGTTATCGGTGATATATTGAGATAAATAGTAAACATAGGAACGTCATATCGGGTGGTAAGCATATATAATATAATGTCGTAAAATATAATCTAAACACATTTAATGAAATATCGAGAGAGGTCGTTGACAAAGGTATTCGAATGTAAAATTTGTTAACGATTTGAGAGAGAGAACAATAGAGGCAGAGAGAATTAGGGTTACATGATGAGCAGATATGAAGTAGAATAGGATAGCTCGGTTTTCGTTTAGTGGATGCGGATTGGGCATGGAAAAAAGAGGGTTTTGCCTCCAAACCCGAACCAATTCACTTAGAATATAAATTGTAGAAAATCGGGCGTATTTTTAACCCATGAGAAGTCAACCGCTTTATCGAATTTACACCGATTTATCAGGACAAATCGGCCAAAAATGATATGAGATAAATTTTTTTAGAAATCGTATCGGCCATGACCCAAACCCTATATATTGGCGATAATCGCTAAAATCAGCCTATTTTTAAAACACTGGCTATATCCCATAATTTTTGTCCATTTTTAGTAGTTTTAACAAAATGGTAATTAATTTTTTCTTTAAAATTCACGATTTTCATGGGTATAACCCCATGATTTTGGACTATAATACAGGACAAGTGGATAATACAGGACAGGACATGACAACTACTAAGCTTTCTTATAATGATAGGGGGGTTGAATTCAAATGCAAATTCATATGAAACATCATAAGTGGGGTTAGAAACAAACATTGATTTAGCAATGACCACGAGGTGATCCCTATTCAACATATCGAAAATGCGAGTATTGAATCACATATGACAAGTACTTAACCTTCTATGGTTCATTTAAACTCACTGCTGATCAAGGATAAATGGTAGCACTCTGTTATCAATCTACCATATTTTTCACTTCAATATCAATATGTGCAGGTCAGGTGTCTTATAACTTTAATGTTAACTAAATGACAGCGCTTTAATTTAAAGTTGAGAACTTCTTTTTCCATGTTATTAATGTAAGAGTACCCAGCAAATATGATGCATTTAGAGATGTAATCTAGAATACTAATTCTAATCAGTTATATCTAAGCAAACCAGAAGCTATACAGGAACTAATCTGTAGATGAACATTTATAAAACAAGGATGAAAAAGATTTTCCCAAAAGAGAAGTAATAAATGGAAAAATCACTTGTAAGTAAAATATCTTACCCCAGATGGTGGTGGTGGGTTTCGTGTGAATTTGGAGCCACCAGGAGCCCAAGGAACTGTAGGTTAAGAGAAATATAAGAACATCACACAACAGTTTCTAAGGTTTGTTATCAAATATAAAAGGCTTTAGTAAGATGTTAGCCTGACATCTGCAATTAACGATAGCATTTTGATTATGAAAGAAGCTATTATTGTTGAGTCAGGAATAGGTCCTAGCCTGCTTCGATCTCTTGTCATGATGAATATCTTCTTAAGTAAGAAAATGATTGTTCTTCAGTATTCTTTTATACCATCCTGAACTATACCCTCCTTTCTCTTCGTAATCATTTGTTACAAGTAATTTTTTTATTCTATTATCTACAGGCTACAGCAACTCTGATCTTTGGATCATATGGCTCAACATTTCTATTTCAGAAATTACCATTTTCAAGCCTTATAAACATTGTTAGCACAGGACATAAGCATTAGGACCATATCCTGTAGATGCCTTCTCAATTCATCCATAATATTGCAGCATCAGAAGAACTTAATGCCGACCTAATGTAACTTACGTGCTCTCCAACAATTTCTCATGCCAGTCAGTCCTTTATCATGCACTTCATTAATTGTATTAACCTAGTTACTCTGCAATTTTGCCTAGAACCCACCAAAGTACTCTCCTGAATGACCTCACTGCAACCTTTTTGAAAAACAAATGAATAAAACTATGTAGATCTCTTTTCTACTCTTAATATCTTTTCACTAAGTTAATATGTGAATTTGTTGCAGATCTTAGCCTAAGGTTGGCTTTCAGAACAATTTTCTCCTTTCACCTAGTCTTTGTTCAATTATTCTCTCCCAGAGATTCACATGACATGCAAGTTAATTTCATAATAACTGTTAACAACTTTGTACAAACCAAAGAAGACGGAAGAAAACGGCAAAAAAAATTCTGCAAACTACATAAGTTTGTTCTCTAGGCACGGATGCATGGTTAACAGGTATAGAAACTACATACGTTTTATCTACAAATAATTTAGTACGTACAGTTCATGTATGAATGATGTGGATCAAGTAGGTTTATGTATGACAGCAGTTGTTTGGTCACAGATGTTATCCTACTTCATTTACATAGATAAACATGTATCATATATGGTCAATATATTACAAGTTAATTACCAAGCCTAAAAATGGCGCTCTATACAGGAAAACAGACACCAGCTGAATTGTATAAAGGGTGACAAAAGAGCCTTCTAAAGGAAAATTAATAATGCTGGGAGAGATTACGAACCGAATTGTAAAACAAAGTACACAACTGGTATCGATGAGTAAAGAAGTCTAGAAGAGGGCATCTCAATTTCATAGGGAATGTAAAATTATGGAACTAGAGAACTTAAAATTTGCAATGTCTGAGTAAAAGATATAAACTCTGAACTATAAGTAGTTTAAATTATAAGTTCTGTGTGCAAATACAAACTGTTGATTACCCAGAAAAAAAAGTGAAACAGAAAAAGTAAGAATATTCAACATGCATTGTATAATTTTGGAATATTAACAGACTAAAAGCAATCATCAACAAAGAAGGATATTATAACTAATTCCTCTTCTTGAGCTTCTCAGAAGTAATTACCAATATAAGGGTCAGGGTGCCTCCACTTCTCAAAATGTGCTTCTGCCTCATCAATGAGCTTGTCAATAGTGTCTAAATCCTCCTGCAAATTCACCAGATATCAAAATAATATAAAAAAAATGCCACAATGTTGACCTTTCAAAGATCCATTGATTTGTTTTGCAATTAAAGACACTTGATTATGGGCACACGCCATGAAGGTGCAGGTTCTTTAGGAAAAGACAGCTGAGATGCTGGGCATGCATATGTCCTCTCCCGTTGTTATAGTAGAGACTACATTAGTCATTCTAGGTATACCTTTCTTTAATGAAAACGTCAGTCAATCTGAGTATAATTAAATTACCAGCCTTAAGAAAAAACAGTTGGTAATACAACTTAATTTTTATTGGTGAGAAACTTATTTATTTATGCTTTTAGTCAACAAACCTACAATGACTATGCTAGACGGACCTCAGACATCTTAGCCTAGCACACAAATAAAATCTACCTTTTTTATTCTTTATCTTTTTCCTTATCCACAAACTCCTTTTCCATTCGTTCTGTCCAACTGCATCAAAGCATCAAGATCCTCTTGATAATTGGCATAACCATAAAAACCTAACGACTATTTGAAAATTATAAATAACAAATGAACCATTAAAAATACTCAAAAATTAATAGGTATATCTCTTCTCTTCATTTTTCATTTTGGGTAGTGCTACGTTGTCTTCGTTCAAATTCAAAGAACTGATCAGCATCTATCTAGGAGTTCACTTCCTGTATACAATGCCTTCTTTTCATATGTTTTTAACATCAAATCCATTTGTGACAGGGAAGACACACCATATGCATGTCATGTTCATCCCTCTTCATTTCTCATTTCCTATGGTGAGTTGCACACTTGTACTGAATAAAAGTTATGGCATTGGCACTTTGTTCCCCCAAACTACTTCTCTATTTCTAGGGTTTATAATGCTAAAAATCCGAATTATATATTTTGAAATTGGAATTTATGTTTTTCCAGTAATGGGTGGAGAAAGAAAATTGGACATGTGAACAAGTTTGTACTTTGTACAATTCTGCCAACTAATAGGGATCTTGGGCTTTGATGCTGTCATTGATAAAAGACTATAACCACTTTGAAACTTGCAACCCATAGTTAAACCTAAAAAGTGTCTCTAAATGTACTCCAAATCCTTTTATAAGTCTCGATGACTTATCATAAGATAGGAACCACATCATATGTACACTACGTGTATCTTAATTAAGGTGCATTGACCAAAAAGTTCACACCGTAGATAATAGCTATCGATTTTCCTGCATATGTTACTGAACCATAAGATATTTGTCGTTTCTTAAGAAATTGACTAATATGAGAAGAAATATACAGTTGAAGTACATATAAGTACATGGTATATGTTTAAAAATATTCCACCTTAACATTTATGACCTCAAAGGATGCCAGGAGCATATTCTAATCACGTATATAATTTAGTTGAACAGGTAACACACAGGGTTATGTATCAAGACTAATTAGGAAATGGTAATAGTCATAATCCAACCAAGTAAGCATTCTACCAAATAAAAGGGAATCAGCTTAAGCTTTCCGTGTAACGAATACGAAAGCAAATAATTTTGAGCGGTTAGAAATAATCAAACAAGGCGTCAACAAAGTTTTAACATGGAGAACAAAGTTAAAATTTCGAAAAGAAAAACACCACATACCACATGCTTATTGGCATCAAACTTTTCTCTTAGCTCTGATGCCTGAAAGAAAAAGAAAAGCGTGTGAGCTAGAACTTTCATCTCCAGTGAGAAAGTAAGTGCTCTTGAGACATTAAGAAACCTTAGCTAAATGATGTTTCAATGCATTTTTTTAAAGACGAAAATAGTAACATTATGCCCTAAAATACGGGCATGACATGGTGGTAAATCATGCATCAGCTGGTGTCCCGCAACATTTCTTGTAAAGCAACATTTCTTGTGCTTTACGAGCTTTTTTCCCTTTGTGATGTTTCTGTAATGCTTTGGGGACTATAAAAAACAGGTAAATTTTCACTAAAAAATGAAGTAAAAGATCCAGAAGGGCTCAAAATTTTGGAAGGAAATAGAAAAATCAATACAGTGTAGAAGTAACGTATCGCTACCTCGGTATCAGGAAAAAGAAAGAGACGAGTTTATTTAAGAGACTGAGCAAAAAACACGAAATTAATGGGAATGTGAAGATCACTTGAATGTCACACACGGATGATTAAGATCTAAACTTCAGTCGACATGGAGGATTTGCTCCATTACTTGGCGAAAAATAACCTAGGGCGCTCCCCAGTCCTGGTGACCTTTTCTTTTTGGAAAACAGGGCAGATGAGATTCTGATAAATCAATAATAAAAAAAAAAGATACATCTCGGAATCACATAGTAATAATAATAATAATAATAGTTAGGGTTAATTTGGGCGCTTGTATCAATTCGCTACAAACCCTAGTTTTGACTGAATAGGAAGACATGCTATCACCATCTATGAAAAGAGGGGGAAATTAGGGATTAAGTAGAGAATCAACAAGATTCAGATGTAAAAAAAAAAAAATTTAAATTAAAAAAAAAAGAGGAGAGGGAAGAGAAAAGAATACATCTTGATAGAAGAGGTGGCGGTGGACGGCCCAGTTGAGGGTGTCTTTGAGGGCTCTCCGGTATAAGATCCGTACCCTCTCCTTTTGCGCCGCCCTTCGAGCCAAATACCCCGCGTTGCCTAGAAAGCTCATCGCCTCTCTCTCTCTCTCTCTCTCTCTCTCTCTCGCCCTCCGCCCCTTCTCTCCAGATTCTGCCTGCCGGAGGCTTTGGGCTTTCATTGGACCGGCTTCACCTATTCTTAATTTGTGGGCTGATGTCCAGCCCAAATCGAAACCCCCTTTTTAAAAGGCCAAAACATGTACTTTTATCCATCAGAAAAAGGACGTGAGCTTGGGCTTAAATAACACTGGGCGGGCCTGACCTCGTTTAGTTAACACTGAACGAGCTCCAACATATCCACTTGGTTAGCAAAAACGGTGACTATTTTTATTTTATATAAGAAACCTCTTTCTCTTGCTACAAACGTTAACGTTGCGAGGTGCTCGATAAACGCAACCTTTCTATTTAATTATAACACCAAAGATGTAGAGATAGTAGTGAAATTCATCAGAAGTGAATTATTAGATGAAGTCTAATAAAAAGTTAAATATAGAGACATAAATCACGGCCTATTTTAGGAACAGGGCAAATATGCATCGTTGAAGATCCTGCAAACATAATAGTAAGTACGTAGATGTTATTTTTATATGTAGACATTGTCCAAACTACTTACCGCCTTTTTTTTTCCTTTTTTTTTCTTACCCCGAGAAGATGCCGCAGAGAAAAAAATTGCTAATACAAAATCACCCGCCAATACCTTATGTTATTCATAATTAATGCTATAATAATGCAAGAATTGAGTTACCGGGTGCGTCTAGATTGTTAGGAACGTGCTATATATGGATCATTGTTCCATAATTTTAATGCAAACAATTAAGCTGGTGCTTCCACTGCTCTTGGCAATTAAATGCTCCCTAAACCTCATCATAATCTTCCGAAGATTATCTCCTGCTTCCTTAGTTAACACTTCTAATTAACACACCTTTGAATTAACTACTTATTAAACACTTTTAGAATTCTGTCTCGTAATAATGCTTAAAAAAGCATTTATTCTCGGACAAGTATCCATAAATAAAAAAGTAATAATCGCATTCTTTTTTCTTTTTTTTTTTAATATGATTGAGTTGAAGATTTTGCCATGAGATGGTTAAAAGCCAGCGGCCAACGTTTTTCGGGTCAAAAGGGAAGTGGGGGCCAACGCAACGTGCGGAAAAAAATAATGGATGTCCCCTCTTTTCTCAAACACTAACCGCGTGATTAGCAGATTCTGTGTCCTGTTAATAAAAGAAAAAAAAGGCTCCCGTTTTGTCCCTAAAATTTTGATAAAAGTAATTAATCGAACAAATACCTATAGATGGGAAAAACAAACAAATCATACGAATTTGTAGTCGCGGGCTTAAATATCTTATAAATTGAGATCTCAAAAATTGGTACTAAACACATCAAAAGCACTTGAACAAGTCATCAAAAAAAAATTTCATAATACTATAGATATTTGTCGTATAATTATTCATTTGCGATCGATCCCTCATACAGTAAATTTAGAGAGATAACATCGACTTACATCTATCTTAATTATACTTCTAAATAACCTAGATTTTATTTTCCTCAAAATTTCGTGGAGGTTTATCCACCACCAATTGCACTTTTATTGCAAAAAGATCCAAAATAATAATAATAAAACCAAATTTAAGCTTTTTTAAGTTACGGTGAGATTGAGGCTTTGTGTGGCCACCAGAAATAGAAAAGGAATGTGGGATGTGTAAACTTCTCACCGGTTAAGCAGGGCCTTTATTTGAAAAAAAAAACGTTATTATGAGGGTGGATTAGTGCTTTAATCAACTTTTAAGCCTAACGCTCTAAATTTCATTTTCCCAGCGCATTTTCTAATTCTAACAAATAAAAAAATAAAAATATTACGAACAACTGTCAAGATAACTAACAAAAATCTCAAACAAGGCCGGAGGGAGAGAGAGAGAAGAGCCAGGAAAGGAAAGGGAAGCGGTTGTTTTTTTTTTTTTTTTTTTTCCAGGAAAGGAAAGGGAAGCGGTTTTTTTTTTTTTTTTTTGTTAGAGAGAGAGAGAGAGAGGAGAGGCCATTCCTCCATTCCTCTTTCTTTCTCCCCCTCTCCTCTCTTGTTCTCCACCTCCTTCCTCCTTTTTTTTTCTTTTCTCTGCTAAAAGCAAATCATTTCTTTCTTTCTTTTTAATTCTCTTTATTTATTTATTTATTTCTCAAATGCCTAAAGACCCATCTCTTCATCTTCTCTAACGTACAGAGAGAAACTTAATTTGGTGGAATTGCAATATCGGTGGTAAATACATAGGTACATTCTCCCTCTCTCTCTCTCTCCGTTAATCTCCCCCTCTCCCTCTCCCTCTCCCTCTCGAAGCTAATAAGAACTTCCAACTCATTCTAGCTCCGTGTACTTCAACCCCCCATGTGAAATTATTGATAAGAAAATGGCGGAAAAAATGTGGGTGGGGGGCTGTTGGGCCATGATAAGGCTGGAAGAAAATTCCAAACTATTGGGCGGTGCTTTGACTTGTTACTTGTAAAGAATTGAATTGAAAGACTTGGCGTCCCTTTACTTTGTACACAATCATAAGGCTGTGGACAGAGCAAACGCTGTGATAATCAAAATCGTAACTTTTTTTACGGTAGAATGTTGTTAAGTACCCATCCCCCAACGACCTCCACCACCCTAACAATTACAGCTACTCCTCCTCACCCCTACTTTTATATTGGTTTTTTTTTAATTAGAGTAAAATGGGTATTTATAATGATGGGGTTTTTAATAGTTCGTCTGCTTTGATTGGGTATTTAATAAGTGTATGGGTTTGTTTTTGTTTTGTTTTGTTTTTGTGGCGTAGAGAGGAATTAATTAGGAGATGGGTTCAGTTGCCGGAGATGACGTGGCAAGCGTCGGGGGAGGTGGGAATGAGGAGAGAATATTGGTATCGGTGAGGCTCCGACCGCTGAACGAGAGGGAGGTCGAGAGAAACGATGCGTCGGACTGGGAATGCATCAGTAACAACACCATCATCTTCAAGAATACTATTCCGGGAGCAATGTCGCCTAGCGCCCACACGTTTGGTGAGTTACTATTCAATCGCCTTTTGGATTTCCTGCAAGAAACCAACGTCTCCTTTTGCCCCCTCAATCCATACGTCAGTTCTTTATGGTATAATAATTTGGTAGTAAATATCGGTTTGTTTCAGAAGTCTGCTGCGTTTTGCGAATTTGCCCATCCTGATTTCTATTCTCACGACTGCAAATTAATGAAGGCATTATTATATTAACAAATATGGTCACCATTCCTGTGTAACCTTTTTACTCCCTCCGCAACAACTGGGGATAAATGCAGAGCTGATCTTGAATTGAGCTTTTCCTTGAAAATTCAGATAAAATGCTGAACACTTCGAACCAACTGAACGTCTTGTATCTTTTTCTCTAAACAGAAGACTTCCTCCAGTAAGCCTGTAACTTGGAAATACTAGGCATGCTGATAACGTTCCAGTACTGTTTTATAGTATTTGTAGAACTACATATATAGTAACAAAAAAGGGTGATAAGAAAAGGAGTTAATAGGGTGCAAACCTGGAACATCTTATTTTCTATGCATGTTTTTTCGTACTCATAAAGTCTCCTTTGTTCTTTCTATGGTTGATAGACAGAGTATTCGGGTCTGATAGCAGCACCAAACAAGTTTATGAAGAGGGAGCCAAGGAAGTTGCTCTTTCAGTCGTCAGCGGCATTAACTGTAAGTTCATCTTCCCTGTTCTTTCCTGATTCTCTCTTTGTTCAGCTCGCACTAGGATGTTACCCAACATATAATATGAGATTTACTTATTCTGCAGCTAGTATATTTGCCTACGGACAAACAAGCAGTGGAAAGACATACACGATGACTGGAATAACAGAGTATAGCGTGTCAGAAATCTATGACTATATTAACAAGGTACTTCAGTTCATGACTATCCATTGAAATGGATATATCATACATTTTGCATTAGTTAAACATGTCTACCTTCTTTCCTTTGCAGCATCCAGAAAGAGAATTTGTTTTGAAATTCTCAGCAATCGAGATCTACAATGAAGCTGTCAAGGATCTGCTCAACCCAGATAGTGGACAACTTAGGCTTCTCGATGATCCTGAGGTGAGATGCCTACTCATCATTTGATCTGCATGCACAATGTTATGCTCAATGGACGTTATATGACCTTTATCGTGTTTACCTTCTTGTTTTAATAGAAAGGGACAGTTGTGGAGAAGCTTACAGAGGAAACACTAAGGGATCAAGGACATCTTAGGGAGCTTCTTTCTTTTTGTGAAGGTGTAAAGCTATTATAATTATAGTGATAATGTAGCCTCTTCATATTAATATTTGTATATTCATCTTACACTATGCATGGCTTGTAGCTCAACGACAGATAGGAGAGACCTCCTTAAATGAGATGAGCTCCAGATCTCATCAAATACTCAGACTGGTTGGCCCTCACATTTCTCAGGTTAATAATTATTGTTGAAAAACATGAAAGATTATTTATTTTCTGTTTTTGGATGGATTGTACAGAGTATTGAAAGTTCAGCAAGAAAAATCTCTAGTAGGGACAATTTCAGCACACTTACAGCCACCGTCGTAAGAATTCCTTTAATGGATCAATCTTTAGATTCTACTACTCGTGTTAACCAGAAATGTATAAGACTGAATTTATCATTTGGGATGCAGAACTTTGTTGATCTGGCTGGCAGCGAGCGTGCATCTCAGGCACACACTGCTGGTTCAAGGTTGAAAGAAGGTTGTCATATTAATCGAAGTTTGCTTACTCTGGGAACGGTTATCCGCAAGCTAAGGTTGACGCCAACAATTTTCAGTAACTCCATTTGTTACCTTTTACTGGATTTCTGCATCAGCTATGTACTTCTTATTTTATTGATTTTGACAACATTGAAGGCAATTTTGTGTGTTTTGGATGCAGCAAGGGAAGAAATGGGCATGTTCCATATAGAGATTCGAAGCTGACACGCATACTGCAATCATCATTAGGAGGAAATGCGAGAACTGCCATAATTTGCACAATGAGCCCTGCCCGAAGCCACATTGAGCAGTCAAGGAATACCCTTCAATTTGCAAGTTGTGCTAAAGAAGTGGTTACCAGTGCACGTGTTAATGTGGTAATGTCTGATAAGGCGTTAGTGAGGCATTTGCGCAAAGAACTTGCTCGACTGGAAAATGAACTGAGATACATGGGGACAGCCTCTATAACCAGTGACTCTGATGTATTAAAGGAGAAAGAGGCCCAGATAAAAAAGGTATCGAAACTACAATCGTCTAATCTAACTATATATGAGCAGGAAAATTTTTACAAGATTTGTTTATAATTGTCTTTATGATTTGTCAATATTTCCTAGATGGAGAAAGAGATGAAGGAGCTGATGAAACAACGAGATCTTGCTCAATCTCGACTTGAAGATTTGCTCAGAACCGTAGGGGATGATCAACCTTCAGAACAATGGGTATTATGCTTTTCATTTTTAGTTGTAAAGAAGATTTCACATTCTCTAACTTAAAAAGTGATCCTTGTTTCAGGAGGAACTCAGCCAATCTTCAATGCATCACGTATCAAACTCACATAAACATAAATTATCAATATCTAATATGTCAGGTGCTGTTTACCAAATTCCAGAGTGTGCCATTGAGATGTGTGATGAATCTCCGGTGCTCGGTGATTGTACCAAGTACAATCTGCAGAATTATGGGAAACCAGAGGAGCAGCATGCACACTCGCCTCTGTATCACTCAACAAGTGCTCCTACTTTATCAGAGCAGGAAGAGACTTCTTCATTAACATCTCTAGATTATGAGGACCACTTTAAGAAAGTCCGTGATATCGAGATGATTGAGCCATGCTTGAATAAAATTGAAGATTTCGATCTCTTGCTGAATGAGGAAATTGACAGTCTGCTACCTTTGACTATTACTACAAAAGGGCATTTTGATCGTGAACCAAGAACTAAAGGAGAGGAAGACCTGAAAAATGAATCATCACAATTGCTCACAGAAAAATCGAAAGGACAGACAGGCTTGAGACATGAACCCACACGATTACCGCCTCCAGCAAGAGATTCAAGTATCTCTAGACGCCCAGTACTTATTAGGAGTAGAAGCTGCAGGGGAACCTTGATGGAGACTGCATCTTCCCCTTGGTTTGAAGATGTGGAAGAAGACAAAATCACGCCACTTAATTACATCTTGAAAGGTATCCCTGCAGGGCTTGGAGGGCTGAATAAGAGAATTTTTGCAATCAACTATGGTGCTGAAGAGGAGAAACATTCTGAACTAAGTCCTTCCAGTTATGTTCTTGAACAACAGAATGCCAAGACTTCTCATGATGGAAGCATTACCAGAATCTCTAATTCCGTTGGTCAGCTGGAGGAAATGATCCACATTCAGAATCAGAAAGAATTTGCTGCTGACCAGGTGAGATAAGCTCATGGAAATTGATTTCTGTTATAGGAATTATTTGCATTACAAATATGTGTGATAGTTTATCTAATCGTTTTGATAGTCTATTCCAACCTCAAGTTTTATTTGGACTTTCTACATCTCTAAGTCTCATCCGTACGTTTAAACAAGAATAACACGTCAACAAAGCTTTGACAAATTTGTCTATATATACAAATCCACAACAAAAGCAGTGTTTTGTTTTCTCTTTCTAGGCGTATAATAAAAAATGTTTCCCCTAACATTGGCAATTGAAGTGTCTGTGCGCGCGGGTGTGTAATGCGTGAATTGTTGCAAACTGTTGTAGTTAAGTGTTCCTTTTCCCCACTAGTGCACTCTGTCCTGTAGCCATTCATTTGTGAAACTAATATAGCTTCCTCAGTTTCAGGAAACGAAGTATACTGCCAACGGAGACTCTGAAATGAAGATAACCATAAAGGATGTATGTCTTAAACCAGCATTGAGATCCCCAGAATCACCCTCCCGATGGAAAATGGAATTCCTGAAGAAGCAACAAGAAATTGTGGAGTTGTGGCATGAATGCAATGTCTCCTTGGTCCACAGGAGTTACTTCTTCCTTCTTATCAAAGGAGATCCAACAGACTCTACTTACATGGAAGTAGAACACAGGAGGCTATCCTTTATAAGAAGCTCTTCCTCTCAAGGAGATCTTAATAAAACCACAGCAGACGATAATGTCCATGACTTGACGTATAGCCTTGTTCTTATTATCAAAATCACCTTATTATTGAAAATCATGCCTATGCTCTATTAGTGATAAATGCAAAGTTTCATATCATGGATTGTTCAGTTTTATTGAATAGACAAATAGTCAGTTTTTAATACACCATATTTCTTTTTGGTTGCAGTTTGAAGAAGCTTCGTCGGGAGAGAGAGAAGTTATCGAGGTTAATGAATCGGTTGCCAGTGGCTGAAAGAGAGAGTCTCTATAACAAGTGGGGTATTGCATTGGACTCCAAGCAAAGAAGGATGAAACTGGCTCATAGAGTATGGACTGAAACTAAGAACATGGATCATGTGAGAGAAAGTGCCATGCTTGTGGCCAAACTCTTTGGATTCTTAGAGCCAGGCCTAGTGCCCAAGGAGATGTTTGCACTAAGTTTCACACCTCAGCTATCTTCTCGGAAATCTTTCAACTGGAAGTATGGGACATCTTCCCACCTATGACCAAGAAGGTGGTGGTGTTCAATAATATGAGAAGAGAACTCCATCCATCCATGGCTTTGAGTTTTAACTAATGACATTTCTTGTATTTATTTGATCATTTGTTGTGATTCATTTGTTCTGATGCATCCTCAATGTAGATATGGTATGTATTGTAACTTAACTGGTATTAACGTGATATGGTATAAAGTTGTTATCACTGTTATGAATAGCGGTAGATAGGGCCTCAATACCGGTGCTAATAGTGTTAACTGTTAACGGTCTCATCCCGCTACGCTATCACCCAATAGCAGTGACATAGTATGGAATATATGTTTTCCGCTCACAAAAGCAGCCAATTGCGTCCTATAGAAGTGAGTAGCAGGTGATTGCGGACAAAATTCGTTTCTTGACCGCTATTTAAAAGCAGATGAAGGTTTAGTTTTTTAAAATTAAACCTGACCCACAATCACTGCATCCTACCGCCTCCCGTGATTTTCAGCATATTATGACCGCCTCCTATAGCCTACGGCACCTCCCTCAGTATTTTCTCTCACCTCCTCTCGCCATGAGTTCCTCCTACTGTAGTCCTCTCACTGCTCAGCTCATCTTCTCGAAGACAACAACTCTTTTGACTCCTCCTCTAGTCGTCTTCGGTATTATGTGACGGTTACATGTCTATTTCATATTTATGATCTCTTTAAATCATCAAATATGTACTTTTAGATTTTCTAGTTTTTTCTTTTTTTTTTGAATATTTATATATATCTAAATTAGCTCGCTATTTAACTTTGCGTTTTTACCGCTATTGTGTCGCAATAGCTCCAAATAGACTTAGAGATGCCTCACCACTATGCGACGCTATCCGCTATCGATAATCTTGGCTGTTATATATATATATATATATGGGTATGCTTGGTACCAAGCACAAAATTTGTGCTTGATAGTGAGGTGGCACAATCTCATCCACTCATTCAAATGGAGGACCATATTCACATGGGTTAAGGAGTGCATGTGGATATACAACCATTTAAATGAGTGGAGAGGATTATGTCACCTCACTACCAAGCACAACTTTTTTGTGCTTGGTACCAAGCATACCCATTTTTCTCATATACT